TTTATGGTATCTTTGAAAATATATTTAAATTTAGATAAAAATCCTTGAAACATCTAATTTATTACTCCTAAAACCTGCCCCTAATGATGTGTCTGACAAGTGTCAAATTTTGATTTGTCAAACATTCTATCATGTAGGATCTAATCTCAATGTACATTATTAGGGATGATTTAGGAGTGATAAATTAGAGAGATGTAACATTGTTAATGAATTTGTTTTATCTATTTTTTAAGCCGATTTGAAACGAGTTTTATTTGTGCCTAGCTCTTATTTATTTTTTACAGTACATATGAGTGTATCAAATTGGGTTTGAGCTATGGTTAGGAATTCTCTCTTTCTCTTTTTGAGGGGTCAATTGATATGAGATTATTTATGGTATAAAGACAGTTACATCCAGGGAGATTAAATTTACATCATATACTTACTTTTTGGTAAAATCCAAGGTACATTTTCATGATTTACCATTTTAGAAACTGTTAGGTTTTTATTCTTGGCAACCCCGTTTGACAAAACTCCTTTCAGATGTATTTATTTTCGCACTTTTATTTCAGTGAGGCTATGGGTTTATTAGATGCGAATCCAAACCCGAATCGAACTATGTAGAGAAGTTTGTGATGTTAATGCTTTCAAGATTGCCAGTTCGCTGATTATTACGGGGCTCGAGCTCGCTCGAGCCAAGGAATTATCGCTCGAGCTAGGGCTTGCTCGCTCGAGCCAAGGAATGCGCGCTCGAGCCAAGGATTGCGTCCATACAAAAACCTGAAAGAATGTATTCCTCGCTCGAGCCAAGGATCCGTCGCTCGAGCCAAGGCACTAGTAGAAATCATGAAAAATACACTGCTCGCTCGAGCCAGAAAAGCTTTTGGTTGCTGAGCTTAGAAATTAATGAGAATCGAAGCAAGTTTAAACTTGGCTCATTTATCTAACAAACTAATCTCGAACAAGTTTTTAACATGTTGAGCTTGAGTTGATTGCGTGGTTTTACAAGTTGTCAGCTTATTTCAAAACTAGTTTTAATTATGCCGATTCCTTTCCTTCCCTTTGGCAAGGAATATGCAGTATCAAAATCAAGATTTTAGAGTTGAAGCAAATTTGGAAAATTGTTGCTCGTTTCATCTTTATTTTGCAAAATATTTTTGCAGATTTCACTTGCAGAAAGCAGTTTGCAAAATTTTATTTATTTATTTTTACACAAAAAGAAATTGATAGTAGCATTGTTTTTTTTCAAATTGGATTTTAACCAATTTGATTCTTTTGTTTTTAAGGTTCTATCAATTGCAGAAGTTAAAGGTTTGCCTTCTCCGATGTCAAGCTGCAAACATCTAACACTATATACCTATGTCAAGAAATGGAACATCCCCGGAATAGAAAGCATGCTACAAAGTTCACCAAATCTAGAGATATTAGTCGTCGATATGAGTTTTGTTTACCATGAAAGGGTAAGTTTTATTTCTCATGGGACATCCCCGGAATAGAAAGCATGCTACAAAGTTCATTTTCATGGAAATTTTTTTGGTGCAAGTCCTTTTCAATTGCTCCAAACTGTTTTTATTTCTCTTTTCTTTTTCTTTTTTTCTCTCATTGAGGTGTGTTTAGAATGAAATTCGCTTGTGAGTAACTGAGATTAATTTTCTTCTCAACTACTACTTAATTTATAATTAAATCCTAAAATAGGATTTTGAGTGGAAGATTATTCCATTATAGAGTTTGGAAAAAAATTTCTCTTTAAATTCTTAAGGTTGCTTTAGTTTTAGGAGGTTCATTATAGTTAGACAATTTACACTAGAGTATAATAATTATGAATAAATTACATCCTAACCAAAGTTTTACATGTAGTTTCTATTTTCTGCCAACTTTCTCAAGTCTTACGACTTTGATGGAGAGAGCTACTGGAAATCACAAAAGAGGATTGTTGAGTGCTGGACGATGCAACTAAAGACTATTAAGATTGTTGGGTTCTGGGATGTTCGTGAAGGATTTGCACTTTCTCTTGTGCAATTTCTGCTGGAGAATGCGAAAGTGCTAGAGAAGATGGTGATCAAAACTGCAAATTCAGGTCACAACCGATGTTTGACATGTTCTTTATCACAAGAATTTGTTCGAGTAACCCAAAAATTATTGAGCTTTCCAAGAGCCTCTCCCCGCGCTGTGGTGGTATTTTCTTAGCGGCAATTATACATAACTCTAATTCAAGAGATCTAAATAGAGCTCTAGTGAGTTGGCAGGTAAAAAAAAGATGTAAAGCACTAATAATTACAAATGGATTAGTGCCACGTAATTAGAGCTCTTAAGCTACCCAACATTTTTGTTTTCTTAGTAGGGACGAGTTTGAATTCTAATTTTGGGAGCATTTTCTTAGTAAGAACGAATCTGGGATTCTAATTTTGGGAGCGAAAACACATTGTAATAGTGATAACAGTAGTAGATTGCATAATTTGCACTGCTCAATGACTATAGTGGTAATAGTAATGGGATGTGATTTGTAGCACGCAACAACTTTACGAAATTAGTGTTTTTTTACTATTTGATTTGGTTGTTTACACTAGATCTTGTTATGCTTGATTCAAATTTAGATCGTCTCTAGTCTATTAATAGAATAATATTAGAAATCATGAAATGCATTATAAAGATTTTTCATCATTTGATTAGCATGTGGATGGGATCGTCTAGTCTGATTTGAAGGACTCACAATAAGATTTGTTTGAATAATATTTAAAATCTTACTGACAATCTTACCAAAAATATCCATGTCCAAATATCATTAGAAGTTCAATTTTTTTTTTTTTTTTTTTTTTTTTACAATCAATCATATTTGACCATTTATAATTTTAGTAAGATTTTTAATAAGAAGTTAGTACGTATAGAATCATTCCCATTTAGGTTAATGTTACGCAATTAGAACATAGTATTCGAATACTCCATGAATGATGACTTGTCTCATTTATATCAGTTTGGTTTGAAGTTAAATGCCCATCTTTATGTTTTTTAATTGCAACAATAGCATTGCCACATTATTTTCGTCTTAAATTTTGTATAAAAATTATGTACATCATTTCTTAATATTTATTTATAAAAAATAGAAGACATGATTTTATGAACACTATAATACAAAATTAATAAAATTAAGTAGTGACAATTATCAAACCCATTTGACTATTTTCATAGATAATCTATATACAAAGGACTTAAAAACGGACCCATGAGATCATCCAGAAGAATTTGTTGATAAAAACCAGAAAGTCAGATCATGCAACAGCTTTATGAAATAGTGTGTCCATAAAGACGGATTGAACTTTCTGCTTTTCTTATGACATCAATGCTTGCTTTTGAGTGCATATTTGGTTTTGTAAATGGTCTAGACTTGGTCAATTTGGAATTTAGATTTGATTAGTTCTTGTTTATGTGAAGTAGGGATCATGCAATCTTCTTCTTATCTCTTTTTTTGATTCCCAGCTGAGTAATCCATAGAAAATATGTCGGCAAATATTACAGAAATTCCTCATCGCATCGACAAATTACCTTGTCGATACTCCATATACATTGAATATGTTACAGCATCAGTGATTGAGAGAGGAAATTTATTGTATGCTTTTGGAGCATTTTTCCAACAACCCTAGGATCAACACATCCGCGTCCATGTGTGACTACAGAGGCAAGCCCCGAAGCACTGAATACCTTCTCATTGAGAATGATCTCATGAATGCATGGTTACATGAAGACACCACACACCAGTTGAGGAGCAACGTATACTCCAATGATATATATGCAATGTAGTCCTGTAAATGAATTCCATGGCTAAAAATGCAGAGTGTTTGTGCAATGGTGAGAAGCAAAGAACAAACAACTCTACTAGGAGAAAATGAAATAAGTGCATAGTCATCTGCATCGCAGCAGCATCAAAAGTACGTATCTACACATTTACATAAATGAAAAATATATAACTGATGGGTGTCACTACGAAAACATAATTACTGCATCCGGAGAGGATCTTGGAAAACTTAGCAATTTTTGCATCTCTCTAGGAAATTGTGTGATATCTCACTTTCTGAAATATGAAAACCATTTTCCTATACTGATGTCCATCCTCTTTACGCTGTGTTTGGTTGGCGGATTTGGGAAGGGAAATGGAAGTGCATAGTCATCTGCATCGCAGCAGCATCAAAAGTACGTATCTACACATTTACATAAATGAAAAATATATAACTGATGGGTGTCACTACGAAAACATAATTACTGCATCCGGAGAGGATCTTGGAAAACTTAGCAATTTTTGCATCTCTCTAGGAAACTGTGTGATATCACACTTTCTGAAATATGAAAACCATTTTCCTATACTGATGTCCATCCTCTTTAGCGTTGTTGCATTCTTAAGCAAAAGTTGTATAAATGGAAGTCGGAATCCGCTCTGATCTCCTGCAAAGCCAACAATCTTCATGGTCTTTAGATGCGGCAACAAGCACTTTAAAATCCTCTTTGGTGAAGTCCAGTAGTCCTCTCCATCAAGACAGTATAAGGAAACAACTTTTGCGCACATAAACTACATTTGAAGAATTAAGTAGGACAATTAATTTCATTTATAGACTAATAATAATGAAAAATGATTCTCAAGTGAATACTCCAAATATCTCCAACCCAACTCATCTTAACTCCAAAAAACCCAATATTAACGGCTTGAGGATCTTAAACTGTCCAAACATTTGAAGAAAAAAAAAAATTCCTTGAGAAGAAAAAAAAAATTGAAAGAAAAAACTTTAGCCCAAGCTCGTAGGAGAATTTCATTTCCAATCTCCATAGTGTCCTTTTCAACTTTTCCGCTACAGAGGCGAGAACAGTTATTTAAATTTATGGCAAACAATTGATAGAAATCATTTTCATTGTTCGTTCTCAACACACATTATAATGACTGGATGCATAATGAATTTAAGGAAAGAAATGGGAAGCAGATTCTGGAAAACTCACGGCCTGGCCACAAGGGGGGGTCATGTTTATGACTAATGTCTCTAAATTTGGTGAACTTCGTAGAAGGCTTGCTATGGCTGGGCTGTCCCATCTATTGACGTAAGTGTTCAGTGCCAAGCTTTTGCAGCTTGTCAACTGAAACAGCACACCTTTGACCTCCAATATTGGCAGAACCTTGCACAAAAAAGCAAAAGAGTACAAAGAGGTAAAGCCAATTTGAAAATTAAAAATAACACTTCATGGCTGCTTTCAAGCCATATTTTGTAAGCAGACTCCTATTTGAAAAGTCGGCTGAAATGGATACAAAATAAAAGACAGATTTTCTTTTCAACATATAGAAATAAAATAATCAACAAAAGAAAAAAAATTCGAGTCTTGGACCATGAATTTAGGATCAAGAAAGTCTGCCTATAATGATTTATTTTATTTAAAAGAACATATAGCCTTTGATACATGGCGAAAAAGGATTCATGTAGCCAACCTTACTTGATTAGGACAAAAGACTTGGGTTGATTTGGTAAATCCTACGTAAAGTGGAAGAATTTTCACATATACAGATCCGTAGGGGGAGCAGCTCCCCTCAATACTTTATCCTCTCCATAAGACTCCACTTTGTGAGCCACACGGGCGTATGATGATGATCTGAACCGTTCATCTCGTAAGCTTCGAAAAGAAGAATATATACGCAAAAAAATTAATTTGATCGGATATTGATAGACGCACTAACTAATCATATTTTATGAAATGAAATGAATGGTAAATATGATTTTAAACTAAAACGTCTATTTTATAAAACAAAACACGACAAGTTAGTATGCTTATTGATGTATAGTCAAGCTAATTTTTCACATATATATTCTTCTATTTGATGCCTATGAGATTAATGGTTCAGATCATTGACGTGGATTCCGTGGGGCCCATAAAGTAGAGTCTTGAGAGGTATGGAGAAGATGTAGCCTTGAGAGGAGCTACTCCCATCCGTAGGATCGCTCGCAAAAAGAAAGGAGAAATTGGCTTGCCCCCTCATGTTCAAGAGATAGACCCAAGAAAACACTACTTGTATTGAAGATCCATGAAGTTACAATAATGTGGCACAGAAGCAAGAAAAGGAGCACTAAACATAGATAAGGTCATCTCTCATCACGTCACAAGCATTTGTTTTTCTTAACTTCATAAATCTCAACCTCAAAAAATTGGCCATTAACATTAGCTATTTAATGATCAATTGAATATTAAATGAAATTCTTAGGGTACATGAAATTCTATAGTGAGAATATTAACATGGCACAGTATAACCTAGATGGACTGCAGCTAGGATACATGAAATTCTATAGTGAGAATATTATTTTTCTTCTTGGGGGTTGGGGAGAGGGGCTTTGGATTAGAAAGTAGAACTTATTAGAGAATATATTATACTAAATATTACTATCTATTTCATATCACAGTTATCTATTTTCATTTTCTGCAAAACATCTAAAAAAAAGGGGTATTTCTGAAAATAATTAAAACTAGTTTTGGTGCTTATTTATAGAACCCGTCTCAGAAAAACTGAGAATAAGAAAAACAACATATTGAATTTAAGCTATTTTCATGTGTTATAAGTATATTCAAAGCATAAAAAATATACAAATCGTAATTATTTTCATGTCTATATATTTTTTAAAGGTATTTCTATGTCTATGTATAAAATAAATATCTATCTGTAGTCGTGTCCTGATTTTTTGAAAATTATCATGTCGGCACGTTTGTATTTTGTCGTATCTGTGCCTCTTAGGTTGAAGGATTTTAAGGATTTTCATAATATTTTGATATAGAAAATCATCATCAATATTTGATACACCATAAATTCTCTTAACAAATTGTGACGTGATGCTTCGTATGCCTTTTGTGAATTACTTCGTCTATGAAAAAGAATGAGAAAATTCATACACACAATTACAAAAGTGCATATGATCAAGGTTGTTAAAATCAAGATACTATGTTGGATCGTTGGAAGTGTTTATGGGATCGGATCGTAGAATCGGATCGAGGAACGTAAAATCCTACCGAAAAAGACAAATTACATAATAATTTAATTTAAATAAATATTTCTTAAAAAGTATACACAAAATGAGCTTATATTCTATTAAAAAAAAGTGAAGATATTGTGAAAAATATAATATTTCATGTAAAACGTACATATAATATTATACAATCGAAAACTTGATAGTAAAAGTTTTGTATTTCATAAAAAACGAAGGTGAAGAAGAAGAATTTTATAAAAAAATACTTTACAATCTACAATAATACATGAAAAGTGAAGAAAAAATATTTAACAAAGTTGGATATGAAAATAAATTAAGAACTCAAAAAAGCAGCTTAACCGAATGATAAGGTATGTAGTTAGCATCCCTAGTAGAGCGGATTCAAGTCACAAAAATAATCTCTCCAAAAATTGAGATAAAGTTGCAATCATCTTACCTTCCTTGGACTCCACTAAAGCTAAGTTTGTTTTTCCGACTAGTTAATTTTCTTAAATTACCGCAATATTTGAATATATGTTTCCTAGTTTGTTTTTCTTAGTCTATTTGATTCAATACTACTTAATTTTTATTATTTACTTTGACCACATAAATTGGTATTTAGACAACAAACATAAAATTTACAATAAAATATGTCATACAATACAAAACAAAGTTTGTAAATTGGATCGGATTCGGATTGGGATTTCATGATCCTATAAGATCCCATTACCAGGATCGAAAGGTACTACCTATAAGAAATTTTTGACATGATCCAGATCGATTGTACTCAAGTGGATCATAAGATCGTAGGATTATAAGATTTGGATCGGGATTTTGATAACCATGCATACATATTGTATGAATGTCAATATGAACGTACGCAAACCTATGTTACTTGGAACGTGAATCGTTCCGATATGTGGAACGGGAACGTGACATGTCACATGCTCTAAAATGTGATACGATAAAGGCATACTTGTATATATTGCACTTAACAATTTAAGGTGCTATATATATTTTTTCATTTTTGATATTTTTATCTTGTAAAAACTTAGGTCACTTTAGATTTTAGTTCATTATAATTGATTTTTTTCCTCCTAAAGTAATATTTAAGGAAATATATTGGAAATAACTTTTGGAATTGCTTCGGATTACTAAATTTACCGTTTTGGAATGAAAGTGTATCATATTTCGGAACGTGCGTATCAATATGTAATTCACTAGGGTATTGGTAACACAGACTCAAACATCAACCACACAAAGACAAGCGCAAACACAAACACAGACCTCTTGTATGAGCCTAGACTTCAAGTTTCAATTACTTAATTGATAAAATAAGAAGCAAGTATCTACTACTACACTTCATAAGGAGGGGAAATCAATATAACAGCAACCACAAATAGGGTAAAATTTCATCCGCAAATATCGTATGACAAGGTGTGACAAGAAATGCGTACCTGGAGGCAACAACTCCCTATTTTAACCTGTTAGAATATATCATCACCTACCACCTCCACTCAACTCACCTACCACATACACTCACCTACTCCCCAATCCTCTCCTATATAATTAGTTCCTCACCACCTGTAATTAACACATCAAAATAACAACAATCTTGTAAACAACTATCAATCCGCCAAGCTGCTCACAGTTTTTATGTTGATGGCGGCCTTATTATCACAGTATAACCGCATGGAGTCCGTCTGAGCAATGCCTAGATCACTCAACAATAATTTGATCCATAAAAGTTCACACACACCTTGTGCCATAGCTCTAAACTCAGCTTCTGCACTTGACCTGGCAACCACATTCTGTTTCTTACTCCTCCAAGTAACTAGGTTGCCGCCGACAAATGTACAATACCCTGAAGTTGATCTCCTATCAGTTACTGACCCAGCCCAGTCAGCATCTGTATAGGCTTCTACACGAAGATGATCATACTTTGAAAAATATAGACCCTTACCAGGAGCAGACTCTTCGCACCAGCTTGAGGGTGAGTGTTGGCATATTATAATCACCGAAAGTCACTTAGCATATTATATTAGCCGAAAGAGTCTGTAATCATTTTTTTATGCACTCAGGGATTGTAATTGTCTACCTTGTAAACCCTAATCTTTATTTATAAATAAGGGATGATATCTCATCATACCCTAAGCTGTTACTCAAGCTTCAATTGTGACGTGATGCTTCGTATGCCTTTTGTGAATTACTTCGTCTATGAAAAAGAATGAGAAAATTCATATACACAATTACAAAAGTGCATATGATCAAGGTTGTTAAAATCAAGATACTATGTTGGATCGTTGGAAGTGTTTATAGGATCGGATCGTAGAATCGGATCGAGGAACGTAAAATCCTACCGTAAAAGACAAATTACATAATAATTTAATTTAAATAAATATTTCTTAAAAAGTATACACAAAATGAGCTTATATTCTATTAAAAAAAAGTGAAGATATTGTGAAAAATATAATATTTCATGTAAAACGTACATATAATATTATACAATCGAAAACTTGATAGTAAAAGTTTTGTATTTCATAAAAAACGAAGGTGAAGAAGAAGAATTTTATAAAAAAATACTTTACAATCTACAATAATACATGAAAAGTGAAGAAAAAATATTTAACAAAGTTGGATATGAAAATAAATTAAGAACTCAAAAAAGCAGCTTAACCGAATGATAAGGTATGTAGTTAGCATCCCTAGTAGAGCAGATTCAAGTCACAAAAATAATCTCTCCAAAAATTGAGATAAAGTTGCAATCATCTTACCTTCCTTGGACTCCGCTAAAGCTAAGTTTATTTTTCCGACTAGTTAATTTTCTTAAATTACCGCAATATTTGAATGTATGTTTCCTAGTTTGTTTTTCTTAGTCTATTTGATTCAATACTACTTAATTTTTATTATTTACTTTGACCACATAAATTGGTATTTAGACAACAAACATAAAACTTACAATAAAATATGTCATACAATACAAAACAAAGTTTGTAAATTGGATCGGATTCGGATTGGGATTTCATGATCCTATAAGATCCCATTACCAGGATCGAAAGGTACTACCTATAAGAAATTTTTGACATGATCCAGATCGATTGTACTCAAGTGGATCATAAGATCGTAGGATTATAAGATTTGGATCGGGATTTTGATAACCATGCATACATATTGTATGAATGTCAATATGAACGTACGCAAACCTATGTTACTTGGAACGTGAATCGTTCCGATATGTGGAACGGGAACGTGACATGTCACATGCTCTAAAATGTGATACGATAAAGGCATACTTGTATATATTGCACTTAACAATTTAAGGTGCTATATATATTTTTTCATTTTTGATATTTTTATCTTGTAAAAACTTAGGTCACTTTAGATTTTAGTTCATTATACTTGATTTTTTTCCTCCTAAAGTAATATTTAAGAAAATATATTGGAAATAACTTTTGGAATGGCTTCGGATTACTAAATTTACCGTTTTGGAATGAAAGTGTATCATATTTCGGAACGTGCGTATCAATATGTAATTCACTAGGGTATTGGTAACACAGACTCAAACATCAACCACACAAAGACAAGCGCAAACACAAACACAGACCTCTTGTATGAGCCTAGACTTCAAGTTTCAATTACTTAATTGATAAAATAAGAAGCAAGTATCTACTACTACACTTCATAAGGAGGGGAAATCAATATAACAGCAACCACAAATAGGGTAAAATTTCATCCGCAAATATCGTATGACAAGGTGTGACAAGAAATGCGTACCTGGAGGCAACAACTCCCTATTTTAACCTGTTAGAATATATCATCACCTACCACCTCCACTCAACTCACCTACCACACTACCACCTCCACTCAACTCACCTACCACATACACTCACCTACTCCCCAATCCTCTCCTATATAATTAGTTCCTCACCACCTGTAATTAACACATCAAAATAACAACAATCTTGTAAACAACTATCAATCAATAATATACATCAGTTTATTTTACATAACCTCTCTAACGTGTCGAAGGCTTTCAAGAAGTTCTCTTAATAGGTTTTGACTTTGATAGTAATTACCAATCTCCGATCCATCATAATAAACAGAGAAGTTGAGGTTAGCATTAATGAGAGACGAGACATTCCTAAGCCGAAATTTTATTCGATGAAAGTGACCCAATATTTCCAATGATTGAAGATTGGGAGCTGAAATTTCCCAACAAAGTTTCATATTCCCCTGATGACATATTTGTTTTGAACACAAGCTTTTTCAAACTCGATGAAGCGATATCTAAAGCGCTGCGAAAACGAAAATAATCCAATTTCAAGAATTCCAAACAAGGACTTCCTAATAGTATCTGTGAAATCACACCATCCCCCAATTCCACACCTTCCATTGATAAACTCTTAAGCGATTTCCAACTAATAACACCACTAGTCGGCATTACATCGCAACAGTTCAATTTCAATTTTTTCAAAGAGGAACTGCAATAGATATACTGAGGCAATCTATAACATTCAATTTCGCTACATCGAAAATCCAAACGCAACTCGAGGTCCTCCACATTGTTCTGGATCGCGAAACTAATGAAGATATTCAAATCGAAAGCAAAACAAGGGCTGTATTTAAGAATAAGCACGAATTTCTCGATTTTGGGGGATTTGCAGAGAATTAAGGCTTTATAGACAAAAGTGATGAACTTACGAGTCTCGACTTCCATGGCATAGTCTCCGTTGAAATTAAGCGTTAACACAGAGGTCCAGAGGTACCGCCATTGCTTCGACAGTGCACTGGTTTTGACAACATCTTTCATGGATAGGAAGGAGAGGATGTGAAGAATCAGAGAAAAGGGCAAAGCGCTGATTCGATTTTCTAGGGTTCGATATTGGAAAGCAATGTAGTCTTCTTGATCTTTGTCTTTGCTTTCCGACATGGTTTTGGCACCGCCGGTGAGTTAAAAACAGAGACGACAACCAGTGCTCGACTGTGGACGTTTGTTGCTGTTCAATACTGCTATAGCTTATTAGTAGGGGGTGGACACTTGCTAGGCTATGGCTAGTAGATTAAAAGATAAATTTTTTTGTGTGTTTTTTTTGAAAAAGTTTATAAAAAAATCGACAATGCTACGTAGTTCAAATTGTGGTTCAAATAGTCAAAACGACGTCGTTTTGAGTACAGAACAACATAAAAATGGCCAAAACGACGTCGTTTTGAGTACAGAACAACATAAAAATGGCCAAAACGACGTCGTTTTGGCCATTTGAGCCACTTTTGAGCCACAAAATTTGAGCTACGAGACATTTTCCTAAAAAAATAAAGAGGCGACAGCAGCTTTAAGAAAAAACCAAAATTTTGCCGTGTTGTCAAAATAATTCATAATAAAGGATTTTGTATTTGTTAAAGGTCAGTTCGGTCTTTAACATCGGATCTTTGTTTCTTTTTTAGTTTCTCAAAGTATTTTCAGGCTTTGTCTAAGACTAATCTTCTAAGGTACGGTCAGGCGCTAAAGCACAAACCTCTTCAAAGAAGGTTTTCTACATCGACAAAGGCTCGAATCCGAGACCACTTGCTTAAGTGACCAAAGCCCTTTCTACTCAGCTCAACCTTCATTGGTAACGTTGGGTCTTTTATGTTTGTCCAAGTCAAGCTTAAAAAATGTAATTATAAATCTCAAGCCCAACTATTGGGTTATATGTTAAAAAACAATTAAGACGTTCCATGATTAAATTCCATCACACATTATATTTCTTAAATAAAGATACTGACATAATTATAAATTGAAATATTTTGTGTATAAATTGAATGGTTTCTTAAATAAATCTAATCACACATCATTATAAATGTGAGTTTCAATAAAATTAATAAAGATAAAATCTAGATTTCAATTTTTTTTAATATATTATAATTAATTAATTTAATAGCGGACTGGGCTGGGCCAGACTAGGTTAAAAATATAAATTTCAAACCCAACCCATTAATATATCGGGCTAAAAATGTTGTCCCAGCCCGATCCTATTGACTTAAACAATCTTCCAAAAGCCTTAAAAAATAGGGTTGGGCCGGATGGGTTGGGTGCGCCAACAAACCGATATCCACCCCTACTTATTAGGCATAAATACACAAAGACTCTCTAAATTATTGAAAAAATATCACTTTGACTCTCTAAATTATAATAACATATAAATAGACCCCTTAAATTATTGAAAAGTATCATTTTGACCCTCTAAATTATAAAAACGTACAAATGAACTCCCTAAACTATAAAAGCGTACCAATTGGACTCCCTAATGGAATGGGCCAAAGTGAAACATCTCAATAGTTTAATGGGTCAATGTGTATATTTTAGAATTTAAGGGGTAATGTTATACTTCTCAATAATTTATAGGACCTATATGTATGTTTGTATAATTCAGGAAGTTAAAGTGATATTATTCAATAATTAAAGAGGTCTCTATGTAAACAACCCGGCATAAATATGTTGCCCTTGGTTGGACTAAGGTTAGATTGGATTGAATTGAGATTTTGTATCCGTTTAAGGAAGAAGTTGGTTGGATGAGGGTTCGATTGGACTCAATTGAGATTTTGTACCTGTTTAAGGGGGAAGTTATTTGGTGATCTTTGGACATGGCCACATGGTGGCTTAGGCGAGTTGTAATTAGTGGAGAGTGTAGGATTCATAATTTTGTGTTAATTGATTAGGGAACAGGGACATGGTAAATTGTGATTGGTTAGGGGCAAAGTTTGGTGCCTTTGGACCACAATATAAATTTTCCATTTAGGGGTGTTTGTTATAATTAGAGGTGTGTATAGTGTGGTTCGGACAGTTTGAGAGTCAAATTATAAACCAAATGGCAAATTATTGGATTGTCAAGTAACTAAATCGTTGTTTGGGCAGTTTGGAGAGAATTGACGATTGAAAAATATTCTTAACCAATTGTCAAATATTTACATAATATATAATACTAATTTGCACAATATTTTTCACACATATAACTATTAATTTGCAATAAATTTCATATCTTAAATCTCTCACTCTCAATTTTACTATGATATTTCATTAGAGGTTAAAAATACATATGTATTAACTACAGCAGAGCGGACACTGTTTCGAAGACAAATTATTAATTAGCGAATAAAACTTTAAAAAACGGATACAACATAGAGGACAAAACGGTGCGAATAAAACGTAGTGGATCGAACGGTGAGGATTGGTGTGCTTTTAGTGAATTTGATGGTATTTTGCACAACCCTTGTTATAACTTAAAGGGTTATTTATATAGAGATTCCCTAAACTATAAAAAAAGTATTACTTTAATTCCTTAAATTATAAAAATGTTATGTTCCAACGAGCCGAGCCCCAGTTATTTTTAAGCTTTGAGCTCAAGTTATGTTCAAATTATAAAAATGTTTGATTCCCCTCAAGATTTTGTATCCGTTTAAGGAAGAAGTTGGTTGGATGAGGGTTCGATTGGACTCAATTGAGATTTTGTACCTGTTTAAGGGGGAAGTTATTTGGTGATCTTTGGACATGGCCACATGGTGGCTTAGGCGAGTTGTAATTAGTGGAGAGTGTAGGATTCATAATTTTGTGTTAATTGATTAGGGAACAGGGACATGGTAAATTGTGATTGGTTAGGGGCAAAGTTTGGTGCCTTTGGACCACAATATAAATTTTCCATTTAGGGGTGTTTGTTATAATTAGAGGTGTGTATAGTGTGGTTCGGACAGTTTGAGAGTCAAATTATAAACCAAATGGCAAATTATTGGATTGTCAAGTAACTAAATCGTTGTTTGGGCAGTTTGGAGAGAATTGACGATTGAAAAATATTCTTAACCAATTGTCAAATATTTACATAATATATAATACTAATTTGCACAATATTTTTCACACATATAACTATTAATTTGCAATAAATTTCATATCTTAAATCTCTCACTCTCAATTTTACTATGATATTTCATTAGAGGTTAAAAATACATATGTATTAACTACAGCAGAGCGGACACTGTTTCGAAGACAAATTATTAATTAGCGAATAAAACTTTAAAAAACGGATACAACATAGAGGACAAAACGGTGCGAATAAAACGTAGTGGATCGAACGGTGAGGATTGGTGTGCTTTTAGTGAATTTGATGGTATTTTGCACAACCCTTGTTATAACTTAAAGGGTTATTTATATAGAGATTCCCTAAACTATAAAAAAAGTATTACTTTAATTCCTTAAATTATAAAAATGTTATGTTCCAACGAGCCGAGCCCCAGTTATTTTTAAGCTTTGAGCTCAAGTTATGTTCAAATTATAAAAATGTTTGATTCCCCTCAAATATTTTTCAGCTTTGAGCTCAAGTTATGTTCTAATTAATTTATAACGAAACGAGCTCAAATGCTTGTGTAGTGCTTGGCACAGTAGGGGAAGTGATGGCCACAAGCAGGGTTAAGACCAGGTTTGTGTAACTAGTCCCCACGTTGTCGGCAGGGGCTAGGCAAAGAATGTGAATATTAATAAAAATTATAGATATATTATATATTATGAATAATAATTTATACTTATAAGAATTATAAGAAATAAGATGAAAAAACAAATAAGTATAATTATATATGCATTATAATATTTTAGTGTTCTAATTTTTATTATAGTAAAAAATATTTTATGCATGTAAATAAATATAATCAGAGCGGAATTGAGTGAATGGGGTGAGAAAAGCAAAATCCGCTCCCATCACACTTTCTCATTAGGGTGATCACACTTTCTCATTAGGGTGGAGAAAACTTACGCAAGGCAGAACAGAAGAAAATGATCATCCATAAGTGCAAGTATTTGGTGCAAATTAAACAAATTGTTTATATCTTATTTTAATTTAAGAGTTTTGGTGTAATTTCTACTTGTAACTTATTAGACAAAAATAATTTAAATAAATTTAAAAATAATAATTATTATCTTAAAATTGAAAAATATATATTTTAACTTCATTTAATTATGAGCTTTTTAAATTACAACCAATCCACCATACCGAAGTAAAATTATTAGGTGTTCCATGAGAACGGCCATGAAGTTAAAGAAAGGTATTTTGAGCAATTGTAATAATTGGGTTCATTGATATTCCTAATATAGTAGGTGATATCACAAATATAATCATACTCAATTCAATGGAATTATTAGATCTGAAAGGAGATCTTCTATAATTTTGCAGGTAAGAGGTAATTTCTTGATTTTGTTTAGTCATTAATAATTTGATTATTTTTAGATAATAATAGCTAAAATAACAGAGTCCTATTAAACCTAGAAATATAGGTTTGCTTGGTGTTCTATGGTATTGTGATTGATACAAAATGTAGCACTTATAATTTTGTGTTAGATGATGGAAGAATACGAGGACTAAGATTATCAAAATAATTTATTTATAATTATTATATGTGTTGATTTAAACAAGACTTTTATAAAACGATAGGACTAAGATTATTAAAATAAATTAAAAAATACTGTTTATTTTTAACTTTTTTTCTCTCTCCTATATAGCACATCTCCTTTTTTTTTCTTTTTCTTTTTTATTAAAATTAATTTTAGATCAATACCCTTACCAAAATTATTTCTAAAATTTAATATTTAAAAGACTTCTACTTAATCTAATTACCCATAAACAAAACTTAATAGAATTATGAATATTGAAAATATTTTATCAATTAATTTTATTCTACTTTTTCACTTTTTTTAAAAAAATTAAATATTAAAATATTTATTTTTATGAAATTTGTTATATACATATTTATGTAAGTTACATTTTCCTAACACAATAGAGCTAAAATTATTAAAATACACATAAAATATTTATTTAAAATTAATATAAGTATTGATTTAAATAACATTTTTATGAAACAATACAACTAAAATTATTAAAATAAATAATTAGAATCATTATTTAAATTTTAAATCATTATTTCTTTTTTTAAAAATATAAATAATTTAACTTAATTTTTTTAAAAAATTATTTTAAAGCAAATAAGTATATTTAGCTCCTACATGGCATGGGTTAACTTTATAATGGAAAAATTAGTCTAGGGTCCTCTCATTTTTCGTAATGGAAGAGATCCACAACATTATTTTTTGATGTCTAAGGTCCCTAAACATATATCAGAGAAATTTGACTATTTGTCTCCCCTCCTCTACTGCAGAGCAGCACTTCCTCTCTCTCTCTCTCTCTGAAACCCTAGAGAGAAGAGATGGGCAAAGTCGTTCTAAACCAGACACTCCAAGATCCAACTCTCTCTTCTCTCTTCACCACACCAGTCCCCCAGTTCTGTCGTCACAACAGCACGTTAGCAAACTGGAGCAACCATCGGCAAAGCACACAAGTTCAGCCACCACCTTCATGAACCACAAACCCACATCCGGGGCTATTCATAATAGACAGCACGAGGCAAACAGAGGACCAAAGCCCACCTGAATGACGCAAACAAAGGCACCTCCAGCGACCTAGAATGTTGCCGGAGAAGACCCTCATGAACTGCAAAGACCGTCGTGAAATGCGATTTCCAATCTTCACATCACAACACAAGAAGAACAACAGACCCACCTCGGACGTGTATAATTTCGGCCCTGGAACAGAGATGGACTAATCTCGGTCATTGTCCAGACCTGCAATATCCTTTACACAAATACCAGCGGCACCTCATAACTGGAGTGATATGGCAGCTGCTTGGAAGATTCCTCCATACACAGCCCAGAGCACCCTAAAAAATGGTAACACCATTACAACACCAATAAAACTCAAAGCAAGCAAAACCAAGCAGAACTCTATCTCGCTGCCTCTTAATCGGGTCCAAAATTTCAAAAGCAAGAAGATGAACCTACGAAAGAGCAAACTTACATGCTCAATCTCACTCATGGATGAAGAGAATGAGATAACAGAACACCATTGTTATCGGGGGAGCTTTCTCTCTCTTTATTTTGAACATATATTTCGATTATTTTTTTCCATTCGAACTGAATTTTCTCCAAAGAAATTCTCAACCCAGAGAAAATTCTCCAGAGAAATTCTCAACCCAGAGAAAATTCAGTTCAAATGAAAAAAAATAATTGAAATAGACGTTATGTGAGCTAAATTGCCAAAGAAATTCTCAACCCAGAGAAAATTCTTAATCCAGAGAAAATTCAGTTCCATTGCCAAATACTCCTGGAAGCTTGCAATTCACTGTTGCGCTTTGCCAAAGCTTCTTTCAACATCTTCGTTTCATCTTCCATTGCCAATAGACGTTCTGTGAGCTAAATTACCAGAGGTAAATTTTAAATATTATTACACACACAAAAAGAAAAAAAATGGCAGAAGTGCACAAGTTTCTTTTCCTTCTATATATCTCAATTAGAGATCAACATCAAACCTGAGACAGCTTCTTCAGCAACTTTAGTATGTTGTTTCACTAGGTTGTCCTTGTTAGTCATCTCTGAATGGGCTGCAGATAGCTGCCATGAGATCAATTCTTCTCGATATCATGAGAAACAAGCATCGTCAGAGAAATTTGGTTAAAACACATTATGAAAACACATTTGATAAATTCCGAAGTCAGAGAAATTTGGTTAAAACACATTCCGAAGTCAGAGAAATTCCGAAGTCCAGAAATTTCTCTGGACCAATTTTCTCTGCATCAACTTGAGGGACTTTAGACATTATAAAAATATTGAGTGTCCTTTACACTGTAAAATCTTAATACCAGGGACCTTAAAAAAAATTCTCCGTTTATAATTTAGGATAAATTATAAATACACTCTTTAAGATTTGCTTAAAATACGAATTATTTTTTATAGTTTGAAAAATTACAAATACCTTCCTGTCAGAATTATTTGTTTAACAGAATTAATTAAAAAGTGAAATTTATAACTGTTCACGTATACAATAATAAAATTATATGATTTATTAATTGAAATAAAATTTTAACATTATTAAAAACTGTTAATTAACTTAATAATTTATTAATAAAAAGAACTATTTATTATGAAATTATAATCCTACATCATATAATATAATTTCTAAAACTATAAAGAATAATTTATAATTTAAGTAAAGCTCAGGATTTGTTTGTAATTTATCCTATAATTTATTAATAAAAAAGCATGACACGGAGGATTTGTTTAAGAAGCGAGTTATCTTTTTGACTATTTTAATCTAGAATTAAAAAGTCTCCTAAAAAAAAAACCTTTTAAACTTTTTATAAGATAAAAATTATAATGATTATGAATCAAATATAATATTTTATCTTATTAAATTAAATTAAATATTTTATTTTATTTATTTATTTTGACTCAAATAGTCCCAAATCCACCCAATCCATTATTGCCAAGTAAATTAAATAACAACAATGATTCATCCCATTAAAAATATCACCACTAATAACACTAATGCATTAAAAAAAAAAATACAACTCTAAGATCAAAACATCACATCATTAATGACGAGACTCACTGCCACCTAATTAGTGGTAGCACTAATTAGTGCTCCCAAGCATTTTTCATTAAATAATTTTATTTGATCGTTTTGGTTCATCGTTTTCTCAGCAATTTCCTCTGTTTTCTGGGTTACCAAAATACAAGAGCCAAGACGTATTTTTGAGGTATGAATAAACTTCTCTCTCCCATTCAAGGGTTTTGGGGTTTTCAGTTGTTTTCCATTAGTTATTTCGGTTAATAATCTCAAAATAGTGCTCTGATGCTTTGATTTTTCGCTTTCTGAACCCATCATCTCTCTCTATCTAATTCTTTACATTTCTGATTATCGAAATTCACCCAAAATTTGCTGCATTTTCTGGGTTTTGTTTGTGCTTGAACCCTTTCTCTCTTTGTGCCTTTCAGGCTCTTTTGCTCCATTTGGTTGACTGAAATGAGATGGAATAGGATGGTCATTTCTTATACTCCTCTATAGTAAATGATGATTCCATTTGCATTACAATTTTTGTTATTTTTTTAGTCAACCAAACAGGAATGAACAATTTGATTGAATGATCATTCATTCCATTTCATTACACTGAACCAAACACTACCTTAGGCCTGGTTTGGAAACGGACAGTCTTAGTAATTTTTGACTTTTTACGAGAAGATATTAAAAAAAAAAAATAGAGAGTGAAGTGATAAATTTTTTTGACTTCTTGGCTAAATGCTAAAATATTTAGTCCCAGATGAGGCCTAGTAGCTTAAAAACCGGCCAAATCCTGAACACCCATTTCTTCATCCATTATAAATTTTTAGCTAGATGACTACCCAAAACCCCTCTCATTCATGGTTTACTCTGTCCATTTTTGCCATCTCCAGTCCTTACTCAAAATTTTACTCAAATTTGAGTAAATACTTTATTTGATATGAACCACTTCAATAGACAAACTCATAAATTTGATTAAAAGCTTTGCTAAAGGCAGAATGGTAAATTAATATCCCCAAAATAATTAGGGTAAAAATTTGTGGAAAATTGAGTTTGGGTCAAATAGCTGAGGGCTTTTTGAGTGATTTTTTCCCAAATTTAAATTGATATAGGTTTGAGTCAAGGATCGGAGATGCCCGCTCTATGCTTTGACTCTATTTGAATTTCCGAGTTCTCATTATAACTTTTTGGCAAATTACAAATACACCCCTCGAGATTTTTTTAAAATATAAATTGCCTTATGTGATTCTGAAAATTAAATCATATCCCTTGATGTTTTCAATTTCATAATAAATAACTCATTTTATTACTAAATCATCAAGTCAATTAAATTTTTTTATTATATCAGAAATTTATTTCAATTAATAATTTGAGTAATCTTATTATTATATAAGAGGACAGTTATAAATTTTATTTTTTCAATTCCTTCTGTTAAATAAAAAATTATGACAATAGGTATTTGTAATTTTTCAAACTACAGGGGACAATCCATATTTTAAACAAATCTCAGGCGGTGTATTTGTAATTTATCCAAAATTTTTTAACTAGTAGCTGCAGCTTTTGCTAGGAGTCTTCCCAAAGCCCCATCCCTTTCATGGTTTGCTCTGTTTATTAAGGCTATATGCTTTGACTATGATTTTTTGCTCTCTCTCTCTCTCTCGTATATGTACGTGTCTATATATATACATATGTTTTTATTTCGCCTACTATGTAGAAACCATGAAGGTGTACCAAAGAAGAGAAACCATGAAGGAAAAAACCAATGTGTCAGACCATGAAAGTATCTGTTATTCTGGTGGTTGCACAAATACCGAAGAATTTGATGCATTTGAAGAGGAGGAGGGAGGCAAAGAGAGAATCAATGATTATAAAGGAGAAATTGAAGGAGATGGAGGGCGAAGAAGAGAAGGGGAGGATGAGGAGGAGTGCAACAGCAAAGGAAAAGGAAAAGAAATAATTAAAAAGTTTCTATTTGACCTACCGCCACTGCCCATATCCAAACGGCCAAGGAATCAAAGACGAAACCGAATTAGCACCTTGAGTGATAGGGTGCTCCTTCACATTTTGTCTTTCTTGCCCATGAAAGATGTTGTAAGAACTGGTGCATTATCAAAAAGATGGCAAAACCTCTGGACTTCTGGAGCAACACTTGTTTTTGAGAACCAAGATTTTGAAGAAAATGACATCCGTAAATTTGTGGCCTTTGTCAATCACACCTTACTTATGTGCAGGTGCTCCAACGTTAAACAGTTTGTACTCGACTTCTGGTCGTACGAAAAGTGTTTTGCCCGTGATGTTAACCTTTGGATTCGCTTCGCAACACTAAACAATGTGGAAGACCTTCATTTACGTTTAGGATGCTCTACAATACTAGAGCCTGATGGCCACAGATTACCTCAGCATCTATTCACCAACTCATCATTGGCAATTTTGAGTGTATTGAATTGTGTTGTCGCACCAAGTGGTGATGTTAACTGGAGATCACTCAAGAGTCTATCGGTTGAGTATGTGCTATTGAGTGATGAAATAATTGTAAAAATACTATCAGGTTGTCCGGTTTTGGAATTCTTGAAAATAAATTCATGCTCCGGCACCAGCCGCTTGGATATCAATTCAACAAGTCTGAAAAGGTTGGTGATAGTGTTTGTGTTCAGAAATTCTGATGAATCTATGCTGGAAATTTCAGCTCCAAATCTTCAGTCATTGAAACTTTTGGGGCATTTCCGCCTAATAAAGTGTCGGTTGGTAAATGTCTCTTCGCTTGTTCTAGCCCACCTTGGTTTTACATTTGATGACACTTCTGGTCAAGACATCATTGATGATTATGAAAAGCAGCGTAACCAATTGGGAGAACTTCTCGAGAGACTTCAACATGTTAAGGAAATTCAATTGGGAAATTGGTGTATCCAGGTTTGTCTAATTTCTTTGCATTTTGTTTGACACATACACTGAGTTGTTTCTTTTATTATATATATATATGTATTATACCAAACCCACACGATTTTAAAACTTATTTCACAAACCCAAACACTTTTGACCTTATTTCCCAAACTTCAAACTCATGTTGTCTTGTGAAGTTGTATTTTGAAAACATGACTTTATGCTTAAATTGGTGTTTTGAAAACACGGCTTAAATTAACTTATTGAAAGCACAACTTTAGGTGTGAGATGATGTTTTCATAACCCAAGTTCACGAAACAACATGAGTTTCAGAATTAAGTTCAAAACGACTTGCATTTGGGAAATAATTTCTTAAGGAACTCGGGTTTGGTAAATAACTCCTCAAACAGTACTGATGCCTTAGCCCTCTAGAAATGTGTGCATTGTTGTACATCTTATTTCATCGGTAAGGTTTCCCAAATCTTGAACTTTTATGACTTGTGATGTGTATGCAGCGATATATGTATTTGTGGATAAGCCAATTATTTAATGAGGTTTACTGCTGAGTCAACAAAATGTATCACTGCATACACAAAATTGGCTAAATCCCATCCGGTCTTGGCACCTTAAATCCCCCCATAGCAAAACAAAGCCCGTTTCACCTCATCCATTGACGCTGGTTGTGCTAGCCAATATTGATCTTCACTGAGACCCCTTCCTTGTAGTCAGTTGTAGATCCAACTCACATCATTTCCAGATTACCGCCTAGCTTCATAAAGCTCCGTAAAATAAATGACAGCCATCCCGTTTAGTTCCTTCTCATTGGAACGCCATGTTCCATCCCCCATTTTAATGAACAAAATTTTATGCTTCCTCCTTCTGATCAACATAGTGGAATAAAAGAACTTCGTATTACAATCCCCCAACTCCACTCATTTCGACCAGGACTTTTGATACCAAAATATCTCTTCTTGCATCAAAATATAAAAATTTCTACATTAGCTGCTTTTCAAGTTCTTCTAAGAACCAACAACTTTGTTTTCCCAGTGCTTTTTGAATTCCATCCAGTCTCACTATAATTCATCTTTTATTTTGAAATTTGTTGCCAAAAACTGTTCTATTCCAATCATTAGAAGCTTTTGTAAATCGATCAATGCTTTGGGTGATATTCAGCTCGTCCGATTTTCCTCATCTCAAAAGATGGGCGAACAAACCACACAAAACTCCATGCGGAAGGGACAATTAGACTTAGGTGGTTGAATAACATCCGAGGAAATTAACATTGAACAATGATCTGAATGCGTATGAGGGAGGTGCCTAACCGATGCCTTAGGAAATTGTTCACTCCATTTAGGATTGTACACTGGCATGTTCAAGTCTCATGTGTTGCATTCAAACCTCTCCTGGAGTTGACCCAAGGATAGGAAGGCCCTGACACAACCTCAGATCAATAAAATTACACCAATCTAAACACTGAATGAACTTGTTGCAATTTTGGCCAACTGGTGCATTGCATCTCACTGCTACCTCTTACCTCATTCCAATCACTAGCCACCGTCCAAGTGAGCTTCAAATCCCCAACAACTCCAGCAAGGTATTCCCAAAGCTCCTTTCTAGAAGAGGGATTAGAGATAGCATATATAGCAGTAAACAACCAATCCATCTCACTATTCCTTTTGATAATGGCATTCAACATCTGAGATAAGTGGGGGAGAACCTCCACCTCCACCAATTCATCCCTCCAAAAATCCAAAATTTTCATGAGAAGACAACAGCATCAACATGCGCAACCTTGTTAAACACAATTCATCGGCCCTAATGCTAGACACCTGGGTTTGAAGCAACAATAACATTAGAGGGTCGTGACTCTCAATTAGATCGTAGTGCGGAGAAACTGATCAATACCAGCTCGCCGACAATTCCATACCATGATCTTCATTGGAAAGTTATTTTTCTCCTGCCAAGCATTCACTCAGTAAAAATTGTGGTCCAACTCCCTGTGTCAATCCTTTCATCTGCAATGTTCTCATCTCCCTCCTGGCACTCAGAGGCAAGGACAATATTATCTTGAATTCCTAGACTGGGACCAGTGAGGAGGTTCTCAACTACCTCATCCTCATCTCTATGATGTCCAAATAGTGATGAGGTCAATAAACTTGAAACAAATTTGAAAAATTATTGCCGATTTCTTGGTTTACAGAAGTGCAATATCATGTGCTTCCGTGATACATTGGCAACTCTAAACAAGAAATCTTCATTCACACATGAGTGACCCCATGGTTGAGGGGTTGAACATGGGAACTCCATTATGGGGTAATTCCTCGGGCTTAACCAATGTGTGGTTTGCTGGTGATTGTTCATATCCGGAGTATATTCATAAGGCCTTGGATTAGATAACAAAGTGGACTAGTTTAAGTTATCCCATCATCAGAAAAAAAAAAAAGAAAAGCCTGAAACTTCATTTGCAAAACACTTTATGCAGATTTTACTTTGCAAAAAGTTGCTTTCAATTTATTCCAAACAAAGCAAGCATGAATAGCATTGTTTTCCCAAATCGGCATTAACCTACTTGATTCTTTCATTCTTAAGGTTTTGTCGATTGCAGAAGTGAAATGTTTGCCTTCTCCGACGTCAAGCTGCAGAATTTTAACACTCCATACACACATCATGAAATTTGACATCCCCGGCATAGCAAGACTGCTACAAAGTTCACCTTCTCTAGAGACATTAATTGTGGACATGAGTGCCCTTTACCATCAAAGGGTAAGTTTTTCAAACTGTTTCCCCATTTCTCTCTTTACATGCATTCGCTCATTGTTACAAAGTTCATCTTGTCTAGAGACACTAATTGTGGATATGAGTGCCCTTTACCACCAGAGGGTAAGTTTTCCGAAACTGTTTCCCCATTTCTCTCTTTACATGCATTCACTCATTGACATGTATTTGGAAGGAAATTCACTTTATAGTAACTTTCGATTAATTTCTTTTCAGCTAATTAAAATTTCCAAATAGGTCTCATATGAAAGAATTTAAAAAGGTCATTGTAGAGGTTTGAAGTGAATTTATTTTTTAGAGTTATGTTCCTAGATATTTTCTCTTTAATTTATTTTATTTTGAGGATGACTTTTCCTTTCCTTTACTTTTTTTTTTATTCGTAAGTTTGGAATCATGTTAACAAATCCTTTCATAGATATTTCTGTTTGGTTTTGTTTTTAAAATAGGTTTTCTGAAGAATACTAAAAATTAATTTGGCAAAAATAAACAATGGAAAAAATGTTTTTGAATTAAATAGATATGTTTGCATAAAAGAAGAAAACAATATGAAAATGATGAGTGTTTTTTAATTATTCATTATTTTTTCGCCAAAACGCAGGTGCAGTTGACATTTGATAATTTACTTTACAGTGGAATTATTAATAAATTGCATCGTAACTAAAGTGTTGGCTGTAGTTTCCACTTTCCTCAAGTTTTCTCAATTCCTATGACTTTGATGGAGAGAACTACTGGACATCACAGAAGAGGATTTTCGAGTGCCAGTTGCTGCGTCTAAAGACTATTAAGATCATCGGCTTCCGGGAAGTTTGTGAAGGATTTGTGCTTCCTCTTGTGCAATTTCTGCTTGAGAATGCAAAAGTGCTAGAGAAGATGGTAATCAAAACAGAAAAGTCAGGTTACAAGCCATGCTCGACGTGTTCTGTATCACAAGAATTTGTACGACTAACACAAAGATTATTGAGCTTCCCAAGAGCGTCACCCCGTGCTGTGATTATGTTTTCTTAGTGAAAATCAAGATTACATACTTGGCTCGATGGCTCAATAGTTGGTTATTTTTGTAGCATGGAACAGCTTTATGGGATATACTGTTTTGTCTATCCAGATGGGTTGAACTTCTTGATCGTTATGTGCTGTTAGAAGGGTAAGACTTTTGGCGAGACTATTTTTCTCATGATATATTTCAAGCTTGCTCTGTGAACCCCTTTTTGTTTTTGTATTTGTATTTGGTCTGGGCATGATTAATTTAGAATTTAGCTGTTTTAACGAGAATCTGACTCGGTAAATGCTCTTAACTCTCTAAGCAGGAAGAACACCTAGAAGGCGATGAACCAGACTCTGGTTTAGCTGGTAGCTTCAACCACCACCTCCAACTCTCTTTTGTCGACAGAGAAGCAGAAACTTGAGCTAAATTAGCTTATGCTCCTCTGAATCAGGAATGTATTTTTAAGGACTCCCATCCTTTTTGCACACTTTTGTTGTACTTAATTCTGGTCTAAAATATGAAGTTCATGAAAATTATGTATGTTGCAACACTGTTAATATACATGGCAACAAAAATTAGAGCCACAATTTTATTTTTCTTTCCATATTTACTTATTTATTTTTGTTTATATTTATTTTGTGGGTCTCCCTTACGTTAGAATGTTAGTAGGTTGAGGCTACTCTATTTACTCGAACCTGAGACCTCTCTTCTTACAGGCACTTAAATGGTCCTTCATGACTAGTTGGACTACAGCTCGGGTCTTTTCTTTCCAAATGCTAGAGCTATAGGAAGAGTAAATTCGGTGTTTCAATGTATGTGTGAACTACTAAAATATATAAATAAATTTATGTGTGTACTATGTTCCAAGGGCAATTTCTTTTAATATTGCGTTTGGTTGAGTTGAAAATATTTTTTTATTTTCTAACATTTGGTATAATAAAAAATAAAAATCAATAGAAAATATTTTTCATTTTTAAAAAGCGAAAAACATTTTCTAATTAAAGTCTTTTTAATGTCACCACATTATTATCGCTATTCTATCCACAGTAACATTACCATTGCTACTGTTAATATATAATATCCATTAGATAGTACATTCGCTAGCTGTAAAGACTGTAAAGGGCAAACACCACTACCACACTATCAGCTTTAGCATTATAGCTTTTATATTTCTTAATGTAAAGTATGTTTTTCTTTTATGCTTTCGGTGCTCCAATGTATCCCTCTCCTCTCTATAAAAAGAGTGCATTCTCTTTGTAAATGAGATATACAATTACAGATTAATACAGAGCTATTCAGTTGCTCTCTCTCTCTCTCTCTCTCTCTCTCTCTCTCTCTCTCACTCACTCTCTCAAACTATTGTTTCATGGTATCAGAGCACAGTTATACAATTCTGGCATTATTTAATTTTTGTGCTTAGTCCCGTACACAGTGGCACTACACCAAACAGCTTAGAATCTCCTTACGATTCCAACGGCACCACGCCCGTCGTCAGAAACGCCCTCACGCACTTCCATGTGCCGCCCTTGTGATCGGCGCGTCTCTGCTTCCTTTGCCACTCTCACACACGCCTTCACGCGCCTACAGCTCTGCGCTTTCGTGCACTGTTCCCGCTGCCGTGCACCCGCGTGCGCTATCTGTCTACCGTGAGCCGCGCCTGTGCCGTTCTGCTATCGTGCACCCGCGTGCACCATCTGTCTACCGTAAGCCGCGCCTGCGCTGTTCCGCTATCGTGCACCAGCTTGCTACCGTAAGCCTCGCGTGTGCCGCTCTGCTAACATGCGCCGCTGACATCATTTTTACATCCTGCTAACATCATCTCTGCACAGCCCACCTTTCTTAGCTATTTTCGACCTTCCGGACTCACTGGTACACTCTGTTTTACCTAATTTTGCGCCTACAGGTCTATTCCTATTGATTTAGCCCTACTCAACTATTATTATGGATCGTCATGATGCCTTCCATCCCATTTCCGTTATTTTGAATGGTTCCAACTATGTTCTGTGGGCCCAAGCCATGTCTTCATTCCTCAAAGGAAAGAAGCCCTGGCAAATTATCACCGGGGATGTGACCCAACCGGTGAAAGACACTGCTGAAACTACTGTTTCTACTACTACTGCTACATATGAAGACTGACTTAAGGAATGGGACAGTAAGAATTACCAAATCATTACCTGGTTTCGAAATACCTCTGTTACCTCTATCAGTCTTCAGTTTGGTCACTTTCAGCTTGACTTTGTAACTACTCCTGGAAAAGACATCTGGGATTTTTTGAAAGAACGATATCAGGCTATTGGTCTTGCTCATCAATATCAACTTCAGAGCCAACTTCATCGGATGCGCTAAGAATCTAGTCAGTCCATCAATGACTTCTTTTCCCAAATGTACTCTGTTTGGGACCAGCTTGCTCTTTCCGAACCGACTTGGCCTCACTGAGAAGATGCTGTTTTATTTACTGTATATCGTAATCACCAAAGGTTGGTGCACTTTCTCATGGCTCTCACTTCCTCTTTTGAGCCTGTACGTGCCTCTCTTCTTCATCGCCATCTTTTGCCCACTCTTGAACAAGTTATTTCTGAGCTGCTATCAGAGGAGACTCGTCTTGGTACTCTCCAAACTCATCATGTGGACTCTGTTCTTGCCACTCCTCCGTACCGGGCATCATTTACCCAGTGGACCACTGTCTGCCTCTATTGTCAGAATCGGGGCCTTCCTTCAACACATCTCCTGCTCAATTGCCCCGTCAGAACCTGCCGATACTGCAACAAACTTGGTCCTGGTCATCTACAACAGGATTGTTTTCGCAATCCATCCCGTTCATCCTCCAATAGCCACTTTTCTCGTGGTGGTTCTTCTCAGGGAAGCTTCCATCGTTTCGGGAATCAGTCTCATCACACTGTTGCTGCTGCCTCTGAGGGTTTTTCTGAGTCTCCTGCTCCGTCTACCCCTCTCTTTTCTCCAACGGATGTAGAGGCCATGTTCAAACACCTTCTCTTCCCTTCTGGTACACCTCCTCCTACTGCTTTGTCTATGATTCCAGGTAACTCTTCTTGGTATTTTGACTCTGCCTGTTGTAATCATATGACCTCCAGTTCTACTATATTTTCTTCCATCTCTTAATCTCCTCATATTCCCTCAATTCAAACTGCTGATGGTTCTCTCATGTCTGTTCGTCATGTTGGTACTGTTTCCACATCTTCTTTATCTTTACCTCAAGTTTATTATATCACTGCTCTCACTTTAAACCTTATTTCTATTGGTCAATTATGTGAACTTGGTCTAACTGTCACATTTTCTACCACTAATTGTTTGGTACAAGACCTTCAGACGGGGCAGACTATTGGGATCGGCCGTAAGCACGGACATCTCTATGAGCTCATTCACCTTCATGTTCCTGACTGTCCTCAGATCGCTGCTCATGCATCTGCTTCCTCATTATCTCCTTTTCATCTTTGGCATTGTCGCTTAGGGCATATTTCTGTTCATCGCTTAAAGTCTTTGGTTTTTAGTGGACAATTGAGTCATGTAATTCCAGATAATTTCGATTGTATACCCTGTCAACTTGCCAAACAACCTGCTTTATCATTCAATAAAAGTACTTCTGTTTCCTGTGCACCTTTTGATCTTATACATTCGGATATTTGGGGCCCATCCCCAACTACTACTATGGGGAGATCTCGTTATTTTGTTGTTTTTATTGATGATTTTTCGCTTTTTCGTGCGCCACGCCTGCTACCGTGCACCCGCGTGTGCCATTCGTCTACCGTGAGCCGCGCGTGTGCCGTTCCAATATTGTGCACCTGTGTGCGCCATTCTGCTATTGTACGCCGCACGCCCTCTCTGCTACCGTGCGCCGCTGACATCATTTTCCATCATGCTGACATCATCTCTACACAGCCCACCTTTCCTAGCTATTTTAATTTTTAGTCACGATAATTGTAATATTTTTATTTTATTTCCGATCTCAAATTGAGAAAATCAATATGTTTTTTAACCAAAGTAAAAATTCAGAGTATGGATGTACTGAAATCAGGAATTCTCAATTTGGATATGAAATAAAATAAGTAGAATAGAAAGAATGAAGGAATAAATAAATAAAAATGATAAAAAATATAATAATACCTGTAATTTTGACATAATTACACTGACTTTCTTTTTAATAAGATTAAAAAGATCAGAACTAATATAAATAGTATGAATACATAAAGATGCACAAGATAAAATATACATTTAAATGTAAAAAAGATGACAACATATTTTTGTATCCATAGGATTGACAATTTTTTGATAAAAAGAGTATTCTATGAATTAAAACCTAAGGAGCGCAGTGTAATTATAACAAACTTGTGGGCTTTACTATATTTTTTTCAAATGTAATTTACCCTAGAATAAATGTGAAACAGAAAAAAAGAAAAATTAGGGGATAAAAGTGAAATTAACCGTAATCAACAGTTGTCAAGGCTGACCCAGATATAGAATAGAATGAAACCCTAGGTTATTCTAAACCGTTGAATAGGTAGATTGATTGCAGAATCAGAAAAATAAAGGGAGAAGAGAGAAGGTAGTACCTGAAGTTGAAAATGGCCCCAATCACTGCAACTTCGCTGCTCCTCAGTACGATTTCTCTTTACAATCAATCATTTTATATTCTTTCAGCAATAGATATATACATACATATATATAACCTATATTGGAAGATAGAGAGAGAGAGAGAGAGAGAGAGGGAACCTGCGCCCCATTGGTTCGATGGATTCGTTGTTGTTGTTGTTGTTGTGGTGCTGAGAGACGATGATGAGAGGATGACGAGACCTAATGGACCCTTTCTGGTAACTTCTGTAGTAGATTGAAGAAGTACCTGCTGATGCCATTGAAGCCATTGCTGTACTTCAATCTCTCTCTCTCTCTCTCTTTCTCTACAAATCCTTATCTTTCTCTCTATATCGTCAGTCTGTTCAGATCGGACGAAACCTACCGAAGAGGAAGAGGTCGTTGGATCAAAAGTCTCTTGAGAATGCAGATGATGCTACTCGATCTGTTGAGTCTCTTAATGGACAAAAAATTGATAATAAGGAGTGGTTTGTCGGGAAAGCACAAAAAAAAAAATCTGAGAGGGAGAGGGAGAGGGAGGTTTGAATTGGTTGAGACCCGGCGGGCGGTCAAGGCAAGGTTGCCGCCCGCCGGAAGGCGAAGAACACCAAGATCTTTAACCTTGCTCTGATACCATGTTAAAATTCAATGTATAAAAAAGAAATAGAGAATTGTATTATTGATTTATTGTTGTGTATTACAAATGGTGAGGGGCTCCTTATATAGGAGATGTAGTGGAGTAGGTGGTAGTAGGTGGTAGTGGTAGGTGTGTAGTAAGTGGTAGTAGGTGGTGGTAGGTGTAGTAGGTGGAGTAGGTGATGGTAGATTTTAACACGAACCGACTTGGCCTCATTGAGAAGATGTTGTTTTATTTACTGTCTATCGTAATCACCAAAGGTTTGTGCACTTTCTCATGGCTCTCACTTCCTCTTTTGAGCCCGTACGTGCCTCTCTTCTTCATCGCCATCTTTTGCCCACTCCTGAACAAGTTATTTCTGAGCTGCTATCAGAGGAGACTCGTCTTGGTACTCTTCAAACTCATCATGTGGACTCTGTTCTTGCCACTCCTCCGT